CTACAGAATAATAAAATCACCTGCGTTCAATAAGAGGAAAAAACAAACAAGTTTACTTTTATTTTCTGAAAAGTCGAGCGAGGGTGAATATTTGCTTTTAATTTTCTACTTTCTGTTCATAAAACCATGTGCGCCTCATGGTGTCTGATTTCCTTTTTTGTGTTTCCTTTAACAACAGAGTGACTTTTTTACACATCACATGCAGGTAAGAAACACAGACGAGTGATTTCAATCAAACCAATAATTTATTTTGTATAGACAGAAGCATCATTAATGGCAGGCCTACGACAGAATCACACGGTTCGAGCTCGACTCGCCGTCCAGTTTCACGCGTCGCTGCAGAGCTTTGAGGAAAAGGCTGCAGAAACCGTGAGTGCAGCACGCTTTGTTACTTGCATGACATAGATCATCAGTGCCACTGACTTGCAATCAAAATGACACGTCTGACGCTACCGTGGACTACATTTACAGTGCAGTCATTAAGATTTAAGTGTGTGTTTGTAATGTAGAGTCACTTTAAAGGGGCACGACGCCGTTTTGAACACATCATGGGCAGAACTGCTCAACCGCTGTGTAGCTTATTTGCTCTGAGAGGAGTTTCCCAAAGTCTCTGGAAATAATATCATAGTTATTTCTTTCTGTACCCAAACTGTTTGTTATGCATCACTATGGAATGTTTCAGTAGTACATATTCAGTTCACAGCATATTGGTTGTTCAGCCATTTAGAAGATCCACTGCATACCTACAGCAGCTGCATAAATTAGTGATATCAAGATTTCATTGATTCACATGCTTGTTAGTGAACCACGGTTTTTAGAAACAACTGCAGAGTTACCGCTTATTTAATAAAACGTATGTAAATTAGCAAAGATACAGAGACAAAAATGGTCTTATTGCATTCGTGCGACTTCATAGAAAAAGGACACAGTGAGTTTTTGGAATGTCCTCAAGAGAGCAATGACGGTAACCGTTACCCCAACACTCCGAATGAAAGAGATCCATGTATAGCTGCCAGACAAAAGTCTGCTATTTTCAAGCCACTTTTTAAAAACTAGAGCACAAATATAAATATCATTTTACAAAGACTGGAAAATCTCTCCCCCTAATGCGCCTTAAAACGAGTGCTGCCAGTTATTAGTCAGTACTGATGTTTGACAAACACCATTTTTTTCTTAATTTAATGATTCATTGTGCATCGAAAGGATTAAGTAGCTGCCACAACAACAACAACAACAAAAAAAAAACATCTGAGTACAAACAATCTGCTCAAGGAGCTTTCTGCAGTTGGCACCATGGACAGTGTACGGTGGCCCAAGAGTGCACGAGAGACAACATCTGAGAGGCGAAAGAAGAAAATTCAAACTGTTATTCACTCGTAGGCCACCGTGTCATTACTAAAAGACATTCTGAACGACATCGCTGAAGTGTCACATACTGTAAATACTAGGCAAGGTTCTCGTACCTACTATATCAGTATCTAGTATATCATTGTGTATCTACATGCTATCTACAAGCTGTGTACAACTGAGCCGAGAAATCATAAATAGTACAAAATGGAAAGTGCAAGTTGAGAGCGACAGTGTGCGCGTGAAACAGAATTACCCATCCCTATGAAATGAAATACCAACTGTGACTGAGTGTGAATGTGTGTTTGATTGTTATGGGGTGTCATGCTTTATCCTTACTGGGGGTCATCAGCGGTTGGAACACGTCTGTGATCAGTGTCTGACTAGAAGCTATTATCCTCCAACTTGCTGCTACGTAACTGTTCCACACCTACCAGGTGATAATATAGTCCGAACATATCCGACCAAAAGAGAGCATTGTGCGACTGAGACGGCCGCATGCTAGTCAGCTGACTTTTTTGGCTCCCTGCATGCATAAATGACGAGAACATTGAATTATCACACTGCTTCTCCAGACATTCCAAATATTATCAGAACACACGTACTGGATTTAGTAGATTAGAATCACTCAACCTTCGAGGCAGCAACAGATAACAAGGCAAAGCATTGACAACTTACGACCTCTTGCTCAGTGCCTGGTGACCTTAACTAGAGAGTTGAAAGTTTGGGTGCTGACTAAGGACACAAGCAGTTGGCAGCCTAGCTATTTCTGAAAACGCCTCTAGGCTGAAATAGCACTGTTTTACTAGTATTACGACTGCAAGTTTTCAATACGTGAGCTCTCGCTTGTAAGACTTTGTCATGGCGGCCCTTTGCTAGCTAAACCTTCACGATGCTCTCTGCTTGCCAAAACAAAAACTGCATGCAGTTCGAGTGACCACCTCCTTGAGTCGCTTTACAGGGAACACAGGGAAGCTGCAGTCTTCCATTTCATGAAACAGTAAGAGGCTCCACCTGGTGGCGTAATCGGGTACTACAGGTAATATACAAAACATTCTCTAACATGCATGCCACTCATCTTCTGCCTTATCAGTTTATATACAGTCGTGACTCGATAATCCGACCCTTAACAATCCGAAAACCTTGCTATCCGACAGGTTTTTAGGAAAAACAAGTGGAAAAATAGCCTTAACATACTGACAGCCTTGGATTCCGACTCCGACATGACATTTTATGTCACAAATAAGGATAACGGTGTATTATCTGACTGAACAATCCCACAGATTGGCTACGTTCAGACTGCAGGACTTAATGCTCAATTCAGATTTTTTTGTGAAATCCGATTTTTTGCGAGTTCGTTCACATTTCCAATTAAATGCGACTTGTATGTGATCTGCTGTGTGAACTTCAGAACAGAAGAGGGCACAATGATGTCACATGCAGCGAGCGTGCTCAGTGTTTACGGAAGTAAACACGGATGGTGGCGGCGGCGGGGCCTATCGGAGCGCCTCTGGGGTGGAAGTGTCCCCCAACCGCTCCGAATATTCGGATATTCATAATAATTTGGGCCTGAATATCCAGAGACCAGAAAGTGCTAATCAGACCAGCCCTACTAGTTATTATAACAACAACAATAAATATAAACAATGAACAATGAATATTACCAACAAATATTACCAACAAATTAGCCTTCAAGCATCAAGCCCTCCTTGTATCTTGACCTTCGTCTTGAAAATCCGACAGCCTTGCTATCCGACATAAAAGAAGGTTTTACATTTAGTGTCGGATTATCGAGTCACAATTGTATTTCTAATTACTAAAGGCAATAATCGATTACATATTTAACGTCAACATTTGTAGCTCTGACTACACCTGAGCCAGCTCATCATCATCGTCGCATTAGCATTCGATAAATTTAGCTCGAGGTAGACGTTGCAGTAGCAGTTGGCTAGATGTTGAAATAAACTAAATTGTTATCATTGTTTGTTAATCTGGCTAGTACGCTGACTAGCGCCACAATAAAATAAACACTAGTTCATGTGATAAAGTGATAAAAGCTTGACAGTTGTATAAAAACTAACAATACTGGTATTTATTCAGGTCTTTCAGTGCAGCCTGGTCGTCGATGGAAGGACAGTGTTTGCATACATCGGACCCCCAAGATAGTTTTAGATGTTGCATTTTTTTCCTGTGCATATTTATGAGCTCTCTATCTTCTCAACTTCTGTATATTTTTGTGTTCTTTATTTGTCTGAGTGTGAGTTTACCTACATTAAACAAAATGGACTAGAGGGATGACGTACACTTACAAAAGCACAAAACAGATGGACGATGAGGTTTGCTTGTCGTTGTTGGCACTTGATCACGCTTGCTAGGTGTAACTCTCAAACTAATTTTTCACGAGACGTTATTGTGCTTTACGCAGCGACATGTGCTGGATTTACCGTATTCTAACATGACGTCCGTGTTGGAACTCGTCCTGAAATGGTTGCTATATTAACAGATTGTCAATTAATTACTGACAATAATTAAAATCAATTTAGATTTTTATATTAATTCAAACGACTCGCGGCTGTTTGCTCTTTCAAATGGTAGATTACATTTTACTGCAGGTTGACGGTGACCATGAGGCGCTGATGTAGCTCGTGAAATGTAAACAATGACAAAGTCTGCTGATGATCATCAGTTAATGGCACGAATAAGATTAAGAAAACATACAAAAGTCTTTGCACTGAAGTCCTTGTGTAAACTGGGACACACACACACACACACACACACACACACACACACATACAGTCATATTGAGAGGACGCTGCACAGACTGACATTGATTTCTTGGAGATGTACTCGGGTCGTAAACCAAGTCTGCTCTGTAACATTTCCGGACTTGCACTGTGGGGATTTGCTGTTTGTCCCCAAAAGAATGTCGATTCCCCACAAAGCGACTGTGCAGCTCACACACACACACTCGTACACACACACACGGTCCTTGATGCGTTCAATTAGTCTGACTTCCACGACTTCATGACTTTTACCACCTTCTCATTCCTTCCTTCCTGCACTGAAAATGTTAATTCTGTTTAAACAACGGATGCCTTCTTTCTTTACTACTTTAGTGAGAAATCTTTTTAACGATGCTAAGCTACTGCTTGTGGAAACCCATAAAAATCTTAATAAGAGCATCCATTATTTACACAAGCGGCCATTTTCAGTGCTTTTTTTTTTGTTCCTTACGTTCACTCTCTGCCTCCACAACCTCTCACTAGAACACCCAGGTGACGGGGACCCACTGGGGGTTTTTAGAAACCGTCTCCAGCGCAGCTTTGACGGTGCGGTAGGTCTCGTCCAGGTTGTCGTTGATGATGCTGAGGTCGAAGTAGTGACCGTAGGCCGTCTGGATTTTAGCGCTCTCGTCACACGTCCTCTGCAGCTCTTCATCCTGAAGCGGAAAACACGAGACTGATCGATGCCGTGGTGGCACTAAAATCGCACGGTTAAGATGAAAGTGTGGCATTTCTTTTACATGAGTGTGACGGTGCGGTGAGTGCTTCGTACCGTCAGGGTCTTGGGGACCACCCCTGCTTCCACGGCTGACTGATTCATCGCCTTGAGCACTTCAAAGTCTGGAGACTGGAGGAACACCACATAGGGCAAGAACTCGGACGTCCGCAGCACTTTGAGAGACTAGAAGTGACACAAACATGTAACACGAACACTTAAGCACATTAGAGTTAAAAGAGTGTCTTATCGTGTTAAATAACTAAAATCCACCAACTGGATATTCCAGACTGACGACTGTGAATGACGAACTGTGTACTTTCCTACAGTGTCTATTGTTGAGATGCCCTGGAGCAAAGCTCATGACGCCAACAGACTGAATGGAGCTCTTCAGAAGCCACCAGGGTCTCAGAGATGAAGGCAGATTCGAGCAAGTGAAGTAAATAAAATTACTATTGTGTCACGCTTTCATGTTGTTTTTCAGATGACCAGTAGGGTAACGGTGGAGTATTGGCACATACTGTGTCCATGGCTTCGCTCCTGGCCATCTGGACGTTGTTTGATATTATTCTCTTCTCTCTCCTACTAATTATTGTCTGAATATCCACAACAACTGCTATCAAATAAACGCAAAACAAATAAGTTCCCCCTAAACCATCCTTTATTTCACCTTTGAAATGCAGAACGTTTCTGATTCTTCTTCTTCTTTCTCGTTTTTCCTATTTTGTTTACACATGTGCAGTATATATTCCATTGTAATAGCCTAACAGTAGTCACAGACTTACTTATTTCGAAAGTCTGATAACAATTCTCTGAAGAATATATATTCAAATATAAGTATAACAATATACAGTCGTGACTTGATAATCCGACACTAAATGTAAAACCTTCTTTTATGTCGGATTGTCAAGACGGAGGTCGAGATACAAGGAGGGCTTGATGCTTGAAGGCTCATTTGTTGTTAATATTTATTGTTCATAGTTGTTATAATAACTAGTAGGGCTGGTCCCAATAGCACTTTCTGGGCTCCGGATATTTGGGCCCAATTAATGATGAATATTCAGTGCGGTTGGGGGGACCACTTCCACCAGCAGGGAGCGCTCCGACGGGGTGGAAGTGTCCAGAACGCACAGGCAGTACTTGGCTGCTGATGCTAGTTTAGTTAGTGGTCACAGTTCTGTTTCCACCATCGGTGGCGGCGGAGGAGCGGCAGATACGCTCCACTGCTAACATCCATGTTTACTTCCATAAACACTGCTGCGTGTGACGTCATCGTGTCCTCTTCTGTTCATGTGGGACACTTTTGGGTCGTATGAAGTTCACACAGCAGATCACATACAAGTCGTGTTTAATTGGAAATGTGAACGAACTCACAAAAAAATCTGAATTGAGCATCAAGTCCTGCAGTGTGAACGTAGCCAATCTGTGGGATTGTTCAGTCAAGTAATACACCGTTATCCTGATTTGTGACATAAAATGTCATGTCGGAGTCAGAATCCAAGGCTGTCGGTATGTTAAGGCTATTTTTCATGGGTTCTGTTTGTTTTTCCGAAAAATCTGCCAGATAGCGAGGTTTTCGGAGTGTTGGGGGTCGGATTATCGAGTCACGGCTGTACAGTGCACTGCCTCCGCTTGCAAAAAATACTGCAAAGTTGTTGTGTTGGACTGCATTACAGTCATACATCTGTCCACCATTCTTTAAAAACCTGAATGTAAATAACGCTACAAATTTCAGACTCGTAAAATGCAGTCGACTTTAAAGAATTTCTTCTTCAGGCCCGTGTCTACAATTCAAACTAATGCTTTTAATGCTGCATTTATGCACATTTTTAGTGGGTCGGTACAAATCTTCTTATACGTTCTATATTTCTTTGTTAACAGCGGCTGGATTTCAAAAAAACACATCAGGCTGTTTAAAGCTGGACTAATCAATATTTCTACTTTAAAGTGGGATTAAATTAGTGTGTAATTGTAAAAGAGCTCCTCATATCGATGGACCCACAAGGACTCATGTGACCCTGCTGCTTCCCTCAGCTCTGCAATCCATTTTAGCCTTTTTGGTTTTGCTTACTTACAGCTCGCAGGTTCACTAAAGTGGGTAACTCTCGCTAATCAACGGTTGCCGGCAGCCTTTTACAGAGAAAAAAAAAACCCAGATAACTTCACGGTGAACTGCCTGACCAACACCACGCAGCAGACACGGTTAGGAACTGAGTGGTGTGGAGATACTGTATAGAAAAAAAGACAACAGCATAATCCGAAATGGTGGATTTATGCTAAAACGAGACATCGTGCGTGCAAACCTGAGGGTTGGCGTCCAGTATGCAGACACGACCCGCCTCCACCACCTCGTGTATGGAGTCGATCTTTAAGCCGTACAGGCTGCCGTCGTACTCTCCGTGTTCCAGATAGCGTCCGTTCTTGATGTCCGTCTCCATCTTGCTGCGGCTGGTGAAACCGTACATCCGAGTCTCGCGTTCACCCTTTTTGGGCTTTCTGGAGGTGTCTGGACGAGAAAAAAAAACAACAACAATATCACACATTTCATAACTAAAATAAATAATCTAGATGTAGCACTTTATGCTGATTTTTTTAATAGGCGGTTTGCCACAATATTTAGACATCAAATGACTTAAACAATCTTCAGCTGCACAGAGTGAGTTCGTAATGACTACCGTAA